GTCCTCTGTCAGGACTGTTTTGACGGGATGGTTCGTGCTAGCCGTCCTGCTGAATGCTGTGCTGGTGCAGCTCTCCTTAGGCATCCTTGTGAACATCCACATCATCCTCACCGTAGCTGTCCTATCTGCCGAGGTGGGAACAGGTAAAGAAAAAAAGAAGAAAAGAAAAAGAGAAAAAAAGAGAAAAAAGAAAAAAAGAAAAAAAGAAAAAAAAGAAAAAGAGAAAAAAAGAACAAAGAAAAGATATGTTGATCTGTGGGATGTGTTATTTGCTTTGTGACAATTGGATTATCTTTCTTTCCCTGTCAGGTTTGGTTTCCTCCTTTTCTTTACCTCTTTGCCTTTTGGCTGCGTGCAAGTGGGTCCTTGTGACACACGGGGATGGGGGCAGCCAGCACTCAACCTACATCCACGTGGCTGGCCTTGTACGTAAGAGGTGCTGAACAGGTGGGGCTTACCTTCCTTCCTTCCTTGTTTTGCCTTTTTCCGCCTTCCTGACTTTTTTTCTTTCCCTTGTTCTGCTTTCCCTTCCTTGTTTTGCTTTTTTCCGCCTTTGCGCTCCGATCCACAGTGTGACAATATATATAGTCAGAGCGCCAAAGCGAAAAAAACAAGGAAAACAAAAAAAACTTAAATTCATTTTTAATCTTCTTCCTTACAACTCCCCCTGTTCAGAAGCTCTGGCGTACAAGGCCGCCTACGTGGATGTTGGTTGAGCGGCGGCTGCCCCCACACCCGTGTGTCATATCGACCCACTTGCACACAGCCAAAAGGCAAAGAGGCAAAGAAAAGAGGAAGGGAACAGCCAAATAAAACAGAACAGGGGGCACCGGACGATAATAATAATATATCTATATATATGATATATATCGTCACAAACAGAACTGCCCGGTAAACCGTAGGCAGAGAGAGAGAAGAGGACAACAAACGAGGGGCTGTGGCAAACTGTTTCGTCGGAGTTTCACCGACTCATCAGGAGGCTGAACCCTCAACAGTCTGCAGAATCCCCTCACTGATTACACTGTAAATGATAATCTACCTTAACCAAAATCAAAGTAGACTATCACTCACCGACACCAGATGGAAAACTCTACAGACTGTCGATATATATATATAATATATATAATATATATAATATAATATAAAATATATATATATATATATCGTCACATGAATGTAAGAGCGCAAAAACGAAAAAAACAGAAGAAAACAAGAAAAAAAATTTAGTAATTCGTTTTTTAAATCTTCTTGCTTACAACTCCCCCTGTTCAAAACCTCTTGCGTACAAGGCCGCCCAATTGTCACACTGAGAATCGGAGCGCAAAGGCGAAAAAGACAAAACAAAAGAAGAAAAAAAAAAGAAAAAGAAGGAAGGAAAGCCCCACGTGTTCATCACCTCTTACGTACGTACAAGGCCAGCCACGTGGATGACAGGTTGAGCGCTGACTGTATATTGTCAAATGCATACACACAAAAGCTTTACAGACAAGAAAAAGCATAGGACAAGTATAGAAGAACTGTAGGACATTCTCTCCTCTACATTTTCCGATACATCCAAAAACAAAGCTCGAAGATGGCGATGGCGATGGCGATGGCGATGGCTTCAGAAGATGGCAATGGGGATGGCAAGGGCGATTTTCAGAAGATGGCGATGGGGATGGCAATGGGGATTTTCCTATGCATGCAAAGAAAAAGCTCGAAGATGGCGATGGCGATGGTTTCAGAAATCTGCTATGCTGAGAGGGAAGAAACCAATTTGGCGATGGGAATGGCGATGGCGATGGGAATGGCGATGGGAATGGCGATGGCGATGGCGATGGCGATGGCGATGGGTATGGGGATGGCGATGGCGAAGGAAGTGGGAATTGATCACTCACTCTTTCCATCCGATCTTCACTCCTCTTCTTCTGAAACCAGCTCATGCCTCCAACGAAAGATACTCCGGTGCAAAATCCAAAAACCAGGCTCGACAGAAACCCCATCTTGACCCCTCTCCTCTTTCTCTCCTTGCTCCCGTAAATGCGTCTACTTGCGTAGGGGTTTCTGTCGTTACCTCTGTCCCTCTTTGTAGGGGTCTGTGTGTGTAAGCGTCTGTTTGTGCGGGTGTGTGTGCGAGAAAGAGAGAGAGAGAGAGAGAGAGAGAGAGAGAGTGAACGCGGTGCGTGCTCCTTCCCTGCCTCAGACAGAATGACTTCTTTCAACTCCTCACTCTCCCATCGACCCACGCCTTGTCTTTCTCAACGATACTGTGTGAATTATCCTCTTAATTCTCTCTCTCTCTCTCTCTCTCTCTCTCTCTCTCTCTCTCTCTCTCTCTCTCTCTCTCTGTGTGTGAGTGTGTGTGTGTGTGTGACGCACGAAAAAACACACTACAGGATCTGTCAATCTGTCGATCAATCCAAGCCTGCACTCTACCTCTCTCTCCCTCTTTCTTTCCTTTTACGTCTTTAACGTTTCGTATCTGTATCTGGATCGATATCTGTCTAGGTGCATTGCCACACAGCTATCGAGAAAGAACGCCTGGATTCATCTGTATTTGTGGGCCCTCATGAGGTAGGGGGCGCAGAACCGGGGGGGCCCGGGGGGGCGGGGGAAGGGGAGAGGGAAGCGGCGAGAAACAATCAAATACCTCCCCCTTGTTTCCGGTGCTGACGTGTCAATCCAATCCAATCCAATCATTCAATCAAATCCAATCAAATCCAATCGAATCCAATCAAATCAAATCCAATCAAATCCAATCGAATCCAATCAAATCAAATCCAATCAAATCCAAGCATCTCTTTCTATAATGCGATAATACTGAAAATCTTAAACCACTCGCACAATAGTATCAGTCCGATCTTTGTCCGATACCTGTCTGCATCTGGATCAATATCTGTCTAGGTGCATTGCCACTGAACTTTTGAAAATTTTCGAAATACGACCAAAAAAAAAAAAAAAAATTAATACAGGCCTCGAGCTCGTGATCCGACGGTGAACATCGTCCGATGAAAACCAATCCGATAAAAAAAAATAAAAATAAATAAATTCCAAGCCTCGAGCGATCAAAATCGACGAATGAAAAACATCAGCCAATGAAAATCGACCGATGGATATCGACCGATCATTTTTTTCCCGAAAATCCTTTTTTTTTTTAATTCCAATCAATTGACCCCGTCCTCCAATCGAGTCTTACAAGCCGATCTAAGCAGGGGCAAAAAAAAAAAAAAAAAAAAAAAAAAAAAAAAAAAAAAAAAAAAAAAAAAAAAAAAAAAAAAAAAAAAAAAAAAAACAACAGATCAATGATGAACAAAGAGAGAAAGACCATTGCGGTTTCATGAAAGTAAAAGAAAAGAGATGTCCATTAGGAAGGCCTCAAACCAGGGCATATACTCACACACTAGTACTGTCCACAATGTATCTGACCACTATCACGGCCAAATTCATTTTGTTTTTTTCCCCTATTCTTTCTTTTACTGCCCTGCCAACAAGGCAGGGGAGAGGGTATTCCACCTTCTCAGGAACCGACCGCCCCTCGCTGAGGGCATGCTCAGAGTATTACTCACAATAGTACTTTCCAGAATGTATCTAACTGCTATCACGGCCATATCACCATTCCTTTTTTTTTTTTTTTTTTTTGCTTCTTCCTGCTATTCACATTCTCGAGAATGCCCTCACTGAGGAGGAGGAAGGAGAAAGACGGAGAAGAATAGGAGAGCAGGAAGAGGAGAAGGAAGAAGAAGAAGAAGAAGAAGAAGAAGAAGAAGAAGAAGATGAAGAAGACACCAGGAAGAGCAAGAAGAAGAAGAAGAAGATAAGGAAGAGAGCAGGAAGAGGAGAAGGAACAAGAAGAATAGGAGAGCAGAAAGAAGAAGAAGAAGAAGAAGAAGAAGAAGAAGAAGAAGAAGAAGAAGAAGAAGACAGCAGGAAGAGCAAGAACAAGAAGAAGAAGAAAAAGAAGAAAAAGAAGAAGAAGAAGAAGAAGAAGAAGACAGCAGGAAGAGCAAGAACAAGAAGAAGAAGAAGATAAGGAAGAGAGCAGGAAGAGGAGAAGGAAGAAGAAGAAGAAGAAGAAGAAGACAGCAGGAAGGGCAAGAAGAAGAAGAAGAAGATAAGGAAGAGAGCGGGAAGCAGAAGACCAAGGAGAAGACAAAGAAGACGAAGGAGGAGGAGGAGGAGGAGGAGGAGGAGGAGGAGGAGGAGGAGAAAATAGGTCGAGGAAGTGAAGTGAGCAGTGCTATAGAAGCAAGAAGAGTGATAGGCAAACCAAACTCAACGTAATAAATATAAATGATAATTACCTTTTCAAAAGTCTGGAATTTGCACCAAGAGGGCATCAGTTCTGCCGTGATGAGCTTCTTCAGATCCTCGCGGTCCATCCGAGAGAGAGCCGCAATGTCCTTTGCCTGCAGCAATAATTAATTATTAAATTATTTAAATTATTCAAAAAAAAAAAAAACCTCAAAAGGTGATAGCCAACGAGTAACAGAAACGACACTCTTGTTCGCTCCTTCATAATAATAAAGTATTAAATTATTCAAATTGAAAAGAAAAAAAAAAACTCAAAAGGTGATATCCAACGAGTAAAAGAAACGACACTCTTGTTCGCTCCTTCATAATAATAAAGTATTAAAATATTCAAATTAAAATANCCCCCCCCCCCCCCCCTGGATCGTTCTCCCACTTTTTATCTCCCGCCCAGCTTGCTTCCTCTTCACAACCGTCCCTCCTCCTCCTTGTCCACTTTCCCCCTCTCGATTCACTTGCTTTGCTAAAAGTGTGTTAGTTTAATTCTTTTACTTGGGAATATCTAAGATCATTTATTTAAAAAATAAAACAAAGGGGGTTGGGGAATTCCTTCGCTCGCCCGTGTACTCGCCTATATTTGGCATTTAAAAAAAAAAAAAAAGTCCATATATCACGCTCGTATGTCTTAAGCTATATTCAATGTATCGTGTTCAGAAAATCGAGTGTGCGTGCGGCCATTGCTTCTCTTTCTTCCTTTTTTTTTTTTTTTTTTACCAGAAATCAACGGTCCAGATCGCTTCAAAATTCCCCCTCCAAATCCACAGTCCCAAGTTCCCCGTGTCCTTTAAAAAAGGAAATTTAAAAAAAAATCCCAGAGTCCCAAGCACGTGCTCCGGATATCCTTCAATACCCGACCCTATATCCCGACATGCCTCAATCCCGATGCGCCATGCGTATTGCGGATCCCGACGCCCGATCCCAGATGCCGACCCTAAGTCCCGACCCAAATTCCCGGCCCGCCATCGAAATCGCCGAGGCAAAAAAAAATCGATTTTTTTTATTTTTTAGAGGAAAAAAAGAAATCTACAACTGATAGCAATCGACGTTTCCAAAAAAAATCCACGGTGCAAGACGAAGCCCGCGAACCTAATCCTTTCGAATGTATCTGGTCAGAAACCACATCCGGATTCAAGGCCAAGTTCAAGCTTGACACAAAATGGAGTGCGCCTGCCTCCTGTCCTACGTGGCACTAATATCAAAAAATAACTTTAACAATCTTGCAGTTTGGAATGAATGAGTCGACCCTTCGATTGCAGAACCCCTCCTTAATCAGACCCCCCTTGCTTGCATTACGAATCTTAGCCCCCTTCTTAATTAACTGGGCGGGGGTTCGGGGAGGAGGGGGGAAGGATTTAGCACCAAGTTTCTTTCGTCTCTGCGGCAGGATTACTCTTCCTTAATTCCGACGATGAACCCGGCACGAGATTTCCATCCACATTCAATCTCTCTCTCTCTCTCTCTCTCTCTCTCTCACGCACACGTACACGTACACAAAACAATAAATCTCTCTCTCTCTCTCTCTCTCTCTCTCTCTCTCTCTCTCTCTCTCTTACACACGCACCCACACACACACACACACACACAAATTAATCGACCTGTCGTTTGAACTCAAGAGCCGGTTCGTGTCTGCGTGGAGACACTCCCGAGGACATGACGATCCGCCCTACAAGTCCATTCCGTCGACGTGTCATCCAGCGCAGTGAATGGACGGGGGTGCATTCCGTCAGCGCAGTGAATGGACGGGGGTGCATTCCGTCGACGTGAGTCTGCGTTCATTCATATTCCTCGTGCAGTGAAAAATCGAATGCAAGCGAATCTTCCCGTGAATCGTCGCGTGACCCCCGCACAAGGATGACACGCATAAATCGGGAACTGAAAAAAAAAATGAAGCAAAAATAAAACTAAAAATGGAATTGGGGGTCGCTCTATGAAGACTTTGGAGAGCAGAAGTGTGTGTGAGGCCCTTAGACAGACGGGGTGGAGCGCTACTCGAGGTGCGTTAATCGCGGTGCGTTAGCGGGCGGCGGCCCGTACCAGGCTCAGGCCGGCTGGCCCGTGCTGGTTGGCACGGGCCCGTTTGGCCGTGAGCAAAAAGTACGGCAAAGGGTTGGTGGGAGGGAACTCGCCATCGCCCGACTGGCAGGGAGGATATCGAAGATATCGATATTTTCGGGAATCTCGGGAATCTCGAGGGCCCCATCCATGACCTGTATTGGGTCAAAGAAGGGGGAGGATGATGATGAGGTGGAGGTCCACGCAATGGTTAAGCTCCTCGGAAGAGAAGAGACTGGACGCGACCAGGTGATTTTGGTATGCACCGGTTTGTTATAAGGTAGCGCCTCGAGCTATGCCGCTCTGCTCCTTTCCAACAAGTACTCAAGTTCCGGAGTTTCTGCTGCTATTTGTGATGACTGATTGTTAGAGGACGCTATTAGTCCTCCCTCGAATTTGAAGGGGGTCTAGCTTAAAGTTGGAAGGTATATTGGATCGCCTGTCGCAACCCAGCCCGTTTGTTATTTGCCCTCTAATTATTCGCTGATCTGGATGTTGAGGGCTAGGTTGGAGAGGCTTCGATCTCTGTCAGTAGGTTTAAATATTAGAACTCTGATTTTATACCTTAGAATACTCGCAGGGATATTGGACGCCTTCCACGAGATGGCTTCTCTGGGGGCTTCCAAGTCCGGAGAAAAAAATTCGGTTGACTTCTCACTGTCGTCGCCTCCGTCGGACTCTGAGAAGGAAAGGGTCAGCAATCTGCTTAGCACATGCTTTGTAGAAGGAATCCTTCCTCCCAGGTTGGCTCCCAATGAGGTGATAACCGGAGATGACTTTGTTAAAGTAATTGTAAATTCGGATCTGGTCCGTTTGCAATCGGAATGGTTAAACCACCAGTACCTAGCGGTTGTTAAGGCCCGTGGCTCAGCCTACCGGTATCCCGAACCTTGCCGAGCCTCGAGCTACCGGTAGGCACACATGGGAAGAAAAAAAGAAGACAAAAAAAAAAAAAAAATCGACATTCTTCTGCAAAAAAAAAAAGAAATTGAAAAACAAAGATATCCGTTTGCACTTTCCATCTTTGGGTCGAGAGAGAGAGANTAAAGTATTAAAATATTCAAATTAAAATAAAATAAAAACTCAAAAGGTGATATCCAACGAGTAAAAGAAACGACACTCTTGTTCGCTCCTTCATACACCCCCCCTGGTCCATCTGTCCTTTCCAGTTAAGTCTGCTTTTTCTTCTTTTTCTTTATACACTCAATTAAATCGATTTCCGGTTTTTTTTTTTTTTTTTTTTTTCCCTAACTCTTTTCACTTCTTTTATTATTCTTCAAAACCGGCTAACGGTCCTGCCGTCCCCCTCACAACAAAAACCGTTGGATAAAGTAGACAATTATGGTAAAAATAAAATTAAAAAAATTGGGAATAAAGACAGATAAATTAGACAATTATGGTATTAAAAAAAAAAAAAAATGCAGGAATGACCGGGATCGTTACCAGGCACCACCACCAAAAAAAAAAAAAAAAAAAAAAAAGGGCACTTCAGCCATGTTTGCCAGTAATAACACTATGACAGTGATAATACACCTTAACCGCACCTTAACCCCACCTTAACCCCACCTTTTTTGTTTTTCCCACTTTCCACATTAATCCTACCTTAACCCTACCTTAACCCACCTTAACCCCACCGTATCCCGGGTTGACCTATGCTTTACCTAGACGACGAGATTTGTCGATGTCCCGACTGGCAGCTGGAGCAAAAAGGCGTTCTTACACCCTGCTGGAAAAGCTGATTAACTCAGAATAGAACGCCCGTTCAATATATCGCTGTGTATATGGGTCAACTTTCAGTCCAGATACAGCGATATTAACTGTGCCGTCCATTCGAGGACAACGGTAGGTCGGCATTCCTCATTCGAGATCGAGTATGGTGATGGAAATGGAGATGGAGATCAAGGATGGAGATGGAGATGGAGATGGAGATGGAGAAAGAAGCGAAGTGATGGAGATGGAGAAAGAAGCAAAGTGATAGAGATGGAGAAAGAAGCAAAGTGATGGAGATGGAGAAAGAAGCAAAGTGATAGAGATGGAGAAAGAAGCAAAGTGATGGAGATGGAGAAAGAAGCAAAGTGATAGAAATGGAGAAAGAAGCAAAGTGATGGAGATGGAGATGGAGATGGAGATGGAGAACGAAGCAAGGTGATGAAGATGGAGATGGAGAACGAAGGAGGGTGATGCAGATGGAGATGGAGAAGGAGATGGAGATAGAGAACGAAGCAAGGTGATGGAGATGCAGAACGAAGCGAAGTGATGGAGATGGAGATGGAGAACGAAGGAAGGTGATGGTGATGGAGATGGAGATGGAGATGGAAAACGAAACAAAATGATGGAGATGGAGATGGAGAACGAGGCAAAGTAATGAAGATGGAGATGGAGAACGAAGCAAGGTGATGAAGATGGAGATGGAGAACGAAGGAAGGTGATGGAGATGGAGATGGAGATGGAGAACGAAGGAAGGTGATGGAGATGGAGATGGAGTCAAGGTGAGAGAGGGAGGAGGAAGGAAGGCGAGGGAGGAGGAAGGAAGGCGGGGGAGATGGAGAACGAGGAGGAGGTGGCGGTGGATGAGGAAGAGGAAGGCAAGCAGGAGGCGGAGGGGGAGGAGGAGGAGGAGGAGGAGGAGGAGGAGGAGGAGGAAGAGGAGGATCATCTGTCCCCCACTACCAAAGAGGATTGGATTTGACGTCTGAAATTGGACGTGTTTGTGGAGAGGTGCAGAAAATCGTGAGTGATCTGCTTCTCCGCATCTCTACATAAAACATATCCAGATTCTGAGAGGGTAATTCTTTCTTCACTGCGAAGTCATGTGACCAATGTATTTATTACTAATGTAATTCAAAAAAAAAAAAAAAAAAGAATCCAGTCGTCAATGCCAGTGGGGTCTCGCCGCCGAAGGAAAGGATTTATTTATTTATTTATTTTTATTTGTTTTTCAAATTAAATTGCTAAAACATACATATGTCACATGACTTCCCAATGGCGGGAATTACCCACAGGAATTACCCTCTCAGAATGTACCTGGACGTCGCGGGCAGCCATGTGCATTCTCATGTGTGTGTATGTCCTCCCCTTCGGAAGTTGAACTCGGCGGACAGTTCCGCAACTTCCCTGAGGGCATGTATCTGACCGTAATTGCGGCCATGTTCCGTCAGAAAAACTACCGGTAGTAGGGGAGTTTTTCTGACGGAACATGGCCGCAATTACGGTCAGATACATATAGAAAAGCCCCCCTTGAGAATGCCATTCGTCGGGCCTATATTGCCGTCCAGGTGCGTTCGCATTCGCAGTAGGGGTCGGGATTATTCCCTACCGGTGGCAATATTGACTGCAAACTCCGCATGAACGTGGTCCGATTTCTGCACCAGGTGGCAGCATCAAGTGCTGCTGCAGCATTAGCGTGAACCTGGTCCAGCAAACTCCGCATGAACCTGGTCCGATTTCTGCACCAGGTGGCAGCATCAAGTGCTGCTGCAGCATTAGCGTGAACCTGGTCTAGTTTCTGCACCTGCAAACTCCGCATGAACCTGGTCTG